CCAATACAAACAAGCAAGAGAAGGAATAAAGGACATCCAAATGAAGGCAGAAGAGGTCAAACTCTCACTCTTTGCTGACAATATGATCTTATACATAGAAAACCCCAAAGACTCAACCACAAGACTCCTGGAAGTGAGCAAAAAATACAGCAATGTTCCAGGTTATAAAATCAATGTCAGCAAATCAGTAGCCTCTGTATATCCCAATAACAGTCAGGATAAGAAGCTAATCAAGAACACAATTCCTTCACCATAGCTTAAAAATAAATGAAAGACCTAGGAATATACCTTTAAAATAGGTGAAGGACTTCTACAAAGAAAATTACAAAACCCTAAGAAAAGAAATAGTAGAAGATGTTAACAAATGGAAAAACATACCATGCTCAAGGCTCGGAAGAATCTACATTGTGAAAATGTCTATACTACTCAAAGCAATTTACAGATTCAATACAATCCCATTTAAAATACCATCATCATACTTTCAAGATTTGGAAAAAATAATTCTTTGCTTTCTATGGAACCAGAAGAAGCCCATATAGCCAGGGCAATCCTTAGTAATAAAACAAATCTGGGGATATCACCCTACCAGACTTTTGGCTATACTACATAGGTCATAGTGATCAAAACAGCATGGTATTGGCACAAATATAGAGACGTTGCCATTTGGAATCAAATAGAAAACCATGAGATGAAATTAATATCTTATAACCACCTAATCTTTGATAAACTAAATAAGAATATACACTTTTCCCCAGTGTAAATTAATATCTTACAATCACCTAATCTTTGATAAACTAAATAAGAATATACACTTTTCCCCAGTGTAAATAAGAATATACATTGGGGGAAAGTGTATATTCTCCCTATTCAATAAATGATTCTGGGAGAACTGGATAACCACATGTAAAAGACAGAAAATGGACCCGCACCTCTCACTACTTACAAAAATTGATTCAAGATGTATAAAAGATTTAAACCTAAGGCATGAAACAACAAAAATCCTTGAAGAAAGTGTGGGGAAAACAATTGAAGATATCAGCCTGATGAAAGATTTTATGAAGAAGAATTCCAATATTCTTCTTAGTAAAGTGTCTCAGGAATGGGAAAAAATATATCCAATGTACTCAGTACTACTATAAAACCAATTTATAATCACTCATACTTTCATATGAGAGATGAATCGCAACTATACCCCAGGATGAAGGGAAGGGGAAGAGGATGGGAAGGGAGGGGAGGTGGCTCAAAAGAGGGAAGGTTAATGGTAGGACCACACTTATGGAGCATTTTGCAGAGGTACAAGTCAAATCTATGAAGTACTGAACACAAATGTCTTAACACTGATTAAGTAAATGAGGTGAAAGCTACGTTAATTAGTAGGATGTAAGCACTCCGATTTGTACAAATAATCAACACATTGAATCTCACAAAGGCATAAATGTATTCATGATCTGTGTATCTATGACTTAATAAAAAAAAATTAAAAAAAAAAAAAGAAAGAAAGGCAGCACCTGTGGCTCAAAGGAGTAGGGCACCAGTTTCATATGCTGGAGGTGGCAGGTTCAAACCCAGCCCCTGCCAAAAACAGCAAAAAGAAAAAGACTTCCATGGTAATTGCAATAACAATAAAAATAAACAAATGGGTCCTTATGTAAACCAGAAAGCTTCTGTATAGCTAAAGAAACAACAACCAAAGCAAACAACCTTCAGAATGGGAAAAGATATTTGCATAATATGAATTGGACAAAAAGATGATAACTAGGATCTATAGGGAACTCACATTAATCAACAAAAAAAGACCAAACAAGTTCATATATCACTGGGCAAGAGCCACGAATAAAAGGTTCTCTAAAGAAGACAAACAAATGGCTAACAAACATATGAAAAAATACTCATCAACCCTAATCATCAGAGAAATGCAAATCAAAACCACCCTGGGATATACCACCTAACCCCAGAGAAAATGGCCGACATCACAAAGTCTCAAAGCTGCAGATGATGGGGTGGATGTAGAGAGAGGGGAAATACACTGCTGGTGGGACTGCAAATTAATACAATCTTTTTGCAAGGAAGTATAGAGAATCCTCAGACAACTCAAATTAGACCCTCGTTTGATCCTGCAATCCCATTACTACTAGGCATCCACCCAGAAGGGAAAACAATTCTTTTTTTTTTT